GGTTGATAGCCAAAATCCTGCATGACCTGAAGAAGCAGCTTCTATTGTGAGAATCCTGGTGCTCCAGCATACTGAGGTCATGATTCTGACGTTATGCAGGATTTTTCGTCAACAGGAGCATGCAGCTGAGGTATTGTACAAATATGAATACTGCGTGCGGCACTGGGCGGATAGTAAACTGAGCCTGAACACCCAGGACCCAACCCGGTTTTGGGTTCAGGGATTCTGGCAGGAAAATCTCAACTGGTACTCGTTCAGCTATTTTTCATATACGTCTCCTAGGCTGTAAACCCTAAACCCTAGACCCTGAAGCTTCAAACCGTAACCATGAGACATGAATACTGACCTTCAGCCTGCTCCCTGCACATGGGGGCATGCGTTGCAAAGCCGCATTTCCATCCCCAAAAACACCGTTGGAACTGCTGCAGTCAAATCTAAGCCCGAAAAATCCTCCAGGAATCTACAGGCCTCGCAAAGGCTTCACTTAGACCCTGCTTGGGGTGCTGTTCGGGAACTGAAACGAACTTACCATGACCTGCAAAAATGTGTAAATACCAAGGTTTCCTTCTCAACCTCCTTACCATCTACCCAGCTGCAAGCCTAAATCTTCCAGCTACCCTAAACCCTATACCCTGAGGCATGGGCAGCAGATGTTCCTCTGGAAAGGGAAGCACCTCATCACTCTGGTTTCTCAATATGAGCTATAGTCTGAACTCCTAGTATCCCCTTAAGAACCCCTATACCCCTATGCCATCCCCTATATAACCTCCTTTAAGGAGTTTAAACTATAGCTCATATGGCGATCGAGCTTGTTGGATGACGCTGGGGCTCACAGCACAGTGGTGAGTATAGTATGACTACATGTACCACTACAGTAAGAAATGTGAGGAACTGACAGTTGAGCTACTTCACTACTTCGGCCGCTGCTACCACGCACGAAGCAATGCTGGCCTCCAGAGCATGCAGCCCAATGTCAATAACCCAGCAACTTAACATACCAACCTACGCAGTGTGTATCAGGGATTATGTAGGGTTGAGGATTATACCGGGGGCTATATACGTATTATGTGGGGTCTAGGCATGTTACCCCTGTAACTGAGAATCTGAGAACGAAGCTGACAAGATAACGGACAAAGAAATGGATAACGGTTTATACGATGGCTTTATAGGTTTTAGGGTGAAGTAGGCATGATACGCAGAACTAGTGTTATCTGTTTCAGCAGCAACCAGAGACTATAGGACTGTACCTGGTTGTAACTTGCGTTTTCCCTTCCCAACACCAGACTTCCCAACCGTAAATCCTGAGACCCTAACTCTGTGGCCAACCCTAAACCCTAAACCCTAAATAGTAGTTCCCATTTTATTTTTTCATTATCCCAATAATATAACCCCTATATAACCCCAATACAACCCTAACATTACCCCAGTAAACACCTGGGAGCTACTCCGGGCGAGCCACGCAACAGGGAAACGCCCGGAGGCAAAACTCCCACGACGACCGCGCGAACGGGTCTAAGCCGGAGGCCATCATAATGGAGGTGTACCTCAGGAATGGGGTTTGTCGTAGAACATTAATTGCAGGTGTACCTCAAGACAAGAGTATGAGATCTGCCTTCGAAATCTGTTAACGGCACATGTACCTTTGGAGGGTACGGGGTTCGGGGCTTTGGATTAAAGGTTTTGAGCTGAAGATTTCTTAGCTTTCGGGTTTCGGACTTTGGGGGCTTAGGGCTTCACAGTCTAGGGGTAGGGATTGATGGGCCGCAGCTGGGTTTACATATGTGACCCCAGGAAGGGCTGGGTAAGCGTTCCTCAATCATCATTCAGCTCTGGCCCTGAAGGTCATGGAGATGCTAGATGTTTTCTCGCGAGTGCGCTTCACGGTTGCTTGTCAGGACCTACACGGATAGTAAGGGCGAGTTCGCTTGGTAACAGATTAGCCTTAGCATGTGTACTACTTCCTGAAATAGAAGAAAAGAGCCCATCCTTAAAGGCAGTGTTGGAGTATTGGGCTTTCTACACTATGACTTCTCCGGGCTTTCGTCAGTGCTAGCGGCTGGCACAGGTACTTCTCGGAGCTAAAACGGGACTTGCGGGGGTTGCAAGTAATTTGCTAGCTAGCAAAATATAGTTACATCCTCGTGCTTCCAAAGCAAGGACCCTTTTTGGGGGTAATTACCTACGTTAAGGTTTAACTTGGGCCCCAATTTCTGGAAACTCCCACGCAGAGCAACTGTGTGTGCTGTGAGAGGCTAAAAGCAAGGAGGCCGCCGTTATCAGAACCAGTGCTCTGCGCACCGAAGCCCAAAAAGAACCTATGAAGCACAGCAATACCCACTGCAAAAATGAAGCACAGCAATACCCACTGTAAAAATGAAGCACAGCAATACCCACTGTAAAAGGCACAGAGAGGGCTGTGGGTACGGCGGGGTTCTCTTTATTTGAGGACTGCATTATGTTGGGGAGTATGGAGCCGGAATGCTGCTTTGAGAATGCTCGGTGGGATTTCGAAGGCTAGGAACCATCTCCCCTTAACACTAACCCTAAACCTCAATAACTAACCCCCCAGTCCCCTGGTACTGAACCCCCAAACATCGTATCATTGCAATTAAGGGCACTTACTTACTCTTAAGAGTCTTCTTGATATTAGTATGGAGGGATTACGAGGGTTGATGCCGCGCAGCGTTCTTCGAATCTCGTTGTGGAGCACAAGCTGACTGTCTTCCTTAAATGGCAGCTTCAACTGGTTTAGGGCTTAGGGGTTTGGGGTATAGGGGATTGGGGTTCCATGGCTGAGGGTTTAGGGCTTCGGCATGCGCATGGTAGTGGCACGGTTGTTCTGGGGTCCGGGCATAGCTCGGCATGAACGGCAAACGCGACTCAGTAAGAGCCAACAGTTGCAACCCCTTATCACTTAACCCCAAATGCTACTCAGCCTCTCTGGCTCATACGGCGTAGCTATAGAACAGCCAGACGGTTTAGATGTCAGGGTTGTGTGGCACCATCCAGAAAGAAGTGAATGCTGTCTACATCAGAATAGCCATGCAGTCCCCTATCCTCGGACACCCCCTGTGACACGGTTTAGGGTTTAGCGTCTATCCACCCTGAACCCGCAGCCGCAAACTACCCTACACCCCAAAACAATCGGCATGGACAAAATCCACCTTATACCCAGGGAATATCCTATATGTAGTCGTATGCGACACTCGTCTTTCGTAAACTTGCTACCACGCCCAAAAGCTCATAGGACCTTATAATCCCCCCTTCCCATTGCTTGTCCACGTCAACCCTACATAATCCCTATACACACCTTATACAACTTCATGTGGTAGTTTCCATCCATACGTTTCATAAAGAAGGGAGCGCAATATAGACGCAAAATACTAGACTAGAATCCTTATTCTGGGGACCTCCAGAGAAGTACCCCTGAATCTGGGGGCAACCCCCAAATGCTCCGAAGCCTAAACCCTAAACCCTAAGCCCTAAACCCTCAAGCCTCAACCCGAAATCCTTCTGCAAGCCAGCCTCAAGAGCTTGCTTCGCAAGCTCTGGGTCACCCATCTCCTGGTGAGGGATTCGGTTTAGGGCTTAGGGTTTTGGGGGGAATAAGGGTTGATGTTGGGTTTAGGGTTTAGGGTTTAGGGCTTAGGGCCCGTAACCCCTGATAGTCAAAGCCCACTACTATGATACCAGCTTGTAATAGTCTGAATGTTTGCTGTTAGGAGGGTGGAGGGGTATGTATGATCAGGGGGATTCAAGGTAGAGAGGATTTGGGGCTAGCCTCAGCGGGATATAGAGGGTTGTACCGAGCATGGATATGGGGGTCTCCAAAGACTAGTGGCCCTTTCTGGGCGGTTACCAATAATTACAGAGTCATAGCATATTGGGCAAAATAGGGGCCCTCATTTTTTGACAACCCCACCCAACACCTTCAGGGCCACAGGCCCTATGCTCTAAACATTGGAGGACCTCAAGGTACACCCAAAATCACATAACCCTTGCTATGGAGACCCCCCAAACGGGACCCCCTAGTTTTTGAAAATGTCCAAGCCCCAAGGCACTGGGCTAGCGTGTCACAAGCTCAGAATCCTAAGCTCCACCAAAAAGAAGAGCCGCATGTTCCCCAACTGAGTCATTCCAAGCTCAGCCGTTACTTTCTAGGAAGCCAGCAGGGGATCTGGGGACTAGATGGGGCTCAGGGCTTAGGGATCTCTCAGCGACTCAGGCAAAACCTTAGAAACCCGGCAGGAGGGCTGTCCAAAGATTAGGATCCCACACGGAAGCCTGGGGCGGCAGGATAGCATAATATCAGGAAACCTGAGACAGCTGTTCCTGTAGGTGTCCTCCTTTGACCCACTCACCCTGACCGCCTGTCCCCCAGAATAAGCCCCAGAGCCTCCACACGACAACAGCCTTCATGGAGGTCCGCTTAATCACAAAAGCCGGCCGGGCTCAAATGATGAGAGTAATTAACAATTGGGTGAAGGAGGATTAAGGATTATTTAGCTCAGGCTGGAAAGTGTACGGCTAACATGAAAATATCTCATGTCTACCAGCAATCTACCCTAAACCCTAATTAAACCCTAAACCCTAAATACCACTCCAAAATAACAGCCACAGATCAACAATCCCATATCCCGAGCCTTTCACCTTACCAAGCTCTAAGGCGCGGTAGAGGCGCCCCGGCAACCCCCGAACCGTAGGCCTGACCCCGGAACTGGCTTCAAACGTGGAAGCCTGGAGCCTTAAGACCCCAAGCCCTGGAATGCAAGATTTAGGGATCAGGGTTCAAGGAACCCAGATAAGCCCCAATCAACTGGGAGTTTCTCGAACTTACCCCTCTTGAAACCTCAACAGGGACCCCTCGTAATGCCCCAAAATCCATCCTCCCCAACTTTGCAAAAGCCCCAAATTATTTGATTTCTGCAAGAGGGGTGTTCTGAGGGACCCTCGGCACACATAAGGATTACAAAGAGATGCTGGAGGTCTTCAAGTAGGATCATAAGCCTTACTCTGAGAAGCTCCCAGGCTAAACCTACACACTAAACTCTAAACCCTAGACCCTGAATCCTGAACTCTAGGCCCTCAAAGCATACAAATTCTAAACCATGAACCGTAAATCCTACACCCTAAACCCCAAACCCTAAATCCAAACCCCAGCACCCTAAACCCTGAACCAACACTTCGGAGGCGGGTGCTGGGCCTGGTCCGCCCTTGCAACCATGCTGGTGCCTTCGTGAAAATTCTTCACCTGGGTAAGTTTTCTATAGGGTTATATGTAGGGCTATATGGGTTATGTGGGCTATATAAGGTTATATAGGGTTATATGTAGGGTTATGTAGCGCTTAAGGGCTTAGGGATATGTAGGGTTTAAGTAGGGTTTACGGTCATAGTGGTATTTGCGGGTATCAAAGGTTATACAGGGGTATATAGGCATGTCTAGACAAGAGAATGAAAACCACCTTAAAATCAGAACAGAAAGGAAGTGGAAAATCAACAGGAAACAACGGGCTGATGGGGATGTTGTATGGGGATTTGGGTAGGGTTGCTAACTTGCTGGTTGTTAGTAGGACATGAAGGACTGGAAGAAAAAATGGTAACTGCAAGTAAAGTCTAGGGTTCAAGGAATGGAGTTCAAGGAATGGAAAGGACATGAAAACTGTATGATTGGGGATTACATATACAGGCTTCTCTAGGCAGGACCTTCATCGCATGGATCATCCAGCGGGCGAGCTTGGAAAAGGCCTCAGGGTTTGGAGCTCGGGGTTTCTCTTCCCAGCAAGCATGAGGGCCCACAGTAGAGTAGGATCTCAGGCAGAAGCAGCTGCACCACATTATGATGGAATTCCCCATGCCTGGCGTCCTCAAGGACTTCAGGAAGGGACTGAAGGATGGGATAGAAACAGAGATCTGATTTAAGGGAAAGCTCTACGCCGTGCTTAAAGTGCTGAGAGTTCGGGTCTAAGCTCTGAAGCTGCTAGGAGTTCGGGCCTAGTATGAGCTTGATCCCAGGAGTATAGGGGCTAGTGATCCAAAGTCAAGGGCCAAGTTGGGGCAAGTCCTTTCAAGCATGAAGCAGAACAGTGCATGTGGGAAAACTCCCAAAACACATCACACCACTTCTCTGCTCAGCTGAAGAAACCCTCAGAGAAGTCTAGTGTTCAGATGCCAGCAGAGCAGGCAAATAGGCAGGCAAGTTGTTTGTGAAAGAAAGCTTGGAGTAGGAGCGCAAAGCCTTTCGGGTTTAAGGTTTAGGGCAGCTTTGATTGCCAGGAGCGAAGCCTTAAGCCTCAAGTCCGCATCTTGAGCCCTAAGCCCCCTGAACCCTAAATCCTGAATCCTAAAACTATTTCCAACCCTGGACCCAAACCAAACTTGCATCCAGTCTTCAGGAACTGCCGGAAAAATCCTGCAGGCAAAAACCCTAAACCCCCAAATCCCAACCCTAAAATCTGAGACCCGCAGATCTACTCCTAAAAACCCGAAACCCTAACATTCAAGATCCTATACCCTTGAACCTTCACAAGGATG